GATTACAGGCACGCGCCACCATGCCCAGCTAATTTTTTGTATTTTTAGTAGAGACGGGGTTTCACCATGTTGACCAGGATGGTCTCGATCTCTTGACCTCGTGATCCACCCGCCTCGACCTCCCAAAGTGCTGGGATTACAGGCGTGAGCCACCGCGCCCGGCCAAAAATTTTTAAAAAATTAGCTGGGCATGGTGGTGTGTGCCTATAGTCCCAGATACTTGGGAGGCTGAAGTGGGAGGATCTCTTGAGCCCAGGACTTTGAGGCTGCAGTGAGCTATCATCACACCACCATACTCTAGCATGGGAGACAACGCAATCCTCTTTAAAAAAAAAAAAAAACCCCAAAACAAAACCCCAGTAGTCAGACTACCCTAGTGGATGTATAGAAAAAATACTTTTTTTCTGGAAGGAATTAGAATCTAAGTTTTTAAGTTGACTGGGTTGGCATTGAGAAAATTGATGATGTGAATTAAATTTGTTATGCTGTTGGCTGGTGTGGTGTCTCACGCCTGTAATCCCAGCACTTTGGGAGACTGAGATGGGCAGATCATCTGAGGTTAGGAGTTCAAGAGCAGCCTGGGCAATGTGGTGAAACCCCATCTCTACTAAATATACAAAAATTAGACAGGTGTTGTGGTGGGCGCCTGTAATCCCGGCTTCTCGGGAGGCTGGGGCAAGAGAATCGCCTGAGCCTGGGAGGTGGAGGTTACAGTGAGCCGAGATTGCGCCACTGTACTCCAGCCTGGGTGATAGAGTGAGATGCTGTCTCAAAAAAAAAAGTTGTTATGCTGTTAGAGGGTCTGTGCATGTTAGCAGTGTTCTTACATTTTGATGGTTTTCATATGTTTTTGCTGCTATATTATGGAGGCTAATGATCAGAAAGCATGTTTCCAACTCCAGTTTTACTGTTTTCAGTTAGTTCTTTACACACTACTTTGTCTTTCTAAAATACATATGTCCTATGCGTCCCCACTCTTCATGGGGTGACTCTCACTGCCCACTGGGTTTCAAGACCAGTTTCTCACTGGGCTTTCTGACTCTCATTGCACTTCTTATTTTGCCCTCATCTCAGTTACTCAGCTCATCTCTTTCTGCCATGTTTTTCCTCTGGGCCTTTGCATGGTCAATTTTTTGTTCCTTTTTTCTGCCTCTGTGCCCCCTTACCCCATGTGTGTGCGGGCTAGGCATGCTTTTCCTCTTCCTTCCTTCTCCAGATCTCAGCTTGGGCCCCACACTGAATGCCATCTCTGACTCCCTGCTTGTTTTGGGGGGCCCTTGTGTTTTCCGTCTTCACCCACTCCCATTCTCATTTCATTCCAGCCACAGGGGCCCCTTGCCTCAGAAGCCCTACAGCTCTGCTGCTTCCAACTATTGCCCTTGCTTCTCCTTTGACCTGGAATGCTGGCCCCAGGTATCTGTGCTCACCCTCCTTCAGGTTTTTGCGTATACTTCTTCTCAGGCACCTTCTGTGACCATGACCACTGATTTAAAGTACTCTGTTGTGACGGAGTACTATTACAGCTCATCTGTGATCCTGGTGCTTTGTGAGGCCAAGGCGAGAGGATCACTCCAGCCCAGAAGTTTGAGGTTGCGGGAAGCCATGATCATGCCACTGCATTCCAGACTGGGTGACAGTAGGACTCCGTCCCAAAAGAAAAAATTAAAAAAATTTATATACGTATACATATATAATACACACACACACTCTCTCTCTCTCTCTCTCTCTCTCTCTCTCTCCCCCCCTCTCCCTCCCCCTCTCTCTCTCCTGAGATGGAGTCTCACTCTGTCACCCAGCCGGAGTACAGTGGTGGAATCTTGGCTCACCATAACCTTCACTTCCTGGGTTCAACCAATTCTCCTGCCTCAGCCTCCCGAGTAACTGGGACTACAGGCACCCACCACTACGCTTGGCGAATTTTTATATTTTTAGTAGAGATGGGTTGTCACCATGTTGGCCAAGCTGGTCTCGAACTTCTGACCTCAAGTGATCTTCCTGCCTTGGCCTCCCAAAGTGTTGGGATTACAGGCGTGAGCCACCATGCCTGGCCAAAAAAAAATTAAAAATTACTCTGTTGCTATCTGGCACTCCCTATCTGCCTTAGATTTTCTCCAAATCACATACCTTCAGCATTTCATGTGTCTTCCTGACGCATTGGGTCATCTGTGAAGGCAGGGACTTTTCTCCTTTAGCTTTGCTTGCTGTTACATCTTGAGCACCTGGAATGGTACTGAGTGACTGTTAGGCATTCAAGTGACTGTTTGAATGCAGACACAGCCCTCAGTACTTTGTATGCCTTAGGGGGCATAATATGTCCCAGAAATGGTGTGAATGAAGGGGAGTGGTGTGAGCATGTTTGTCTTGGTGTGGAATTGGAAAGGTGGAGGGCCATGACCTGGTGGCAGAAGTCACTGAGGAGCCTCATGCATCAGTAGCAGGGCTGGAGAACCATGGCTTTACCAACGCACAGGAGGCGAGGCTGGGGAAGTGTGGACAGTTGGGAGAGAATAAGCAGAGGCAGCATTGCTGGGGCTGGGCCACAGCATGAGACTGGTGCAGAAGAGGAGAGGGGCCCCAGTGATTCCCTTGATTCCCCTCCTTACAGATGGAAAGATTAGTTGCTGGTACCATTTTTACTTCTCTGTGAACCAGTGGAAGAGAAAGTGGGCCTTGTTTCTGACCTACCTTATTTGCTTCTGGAAGGAAGCTCTGATCTCACCTGCCTGCCTAAAAATGTGTCCCTGGAGTTTCACTGTTTGCTGAGAAGAGAAAGCCCTAGATCTTGAGCATGGCATGTGGTTCCTGCCCGTTTTTCCTCTGTGTGTGTGTGTGTGTGTGTGTGTGTGTGTGTGTATTTAATATATAACACTTTTTTTTTTTAAAGACAGGGTTTCACCATGTTGGTCAGGCTGATCTTGAACTTCCGACCTCAGGTGATCCGCCCGCCTTGGCCTCCAAAATGCTTGGATTACAGGCGTGAGCCACCACGCCCGGCCTTATATAACACAGTTTTTAAAAATGTACATTTTTTCTTCCCTCTATGACTTTGGCCAGTGATTCTGCCTGTCTTTCTCTTGTCTTTGCTGGCCAGTCCTTTGTGGTTGCTTTGAGATCTCATCATGCTGTCTGTAGCTCTTGTGAGGAGCTGCCCCCTGTCCCATGGATTTTTGCATGTACTGTTGCTTCTTCCTGAGTTACCTAATTTTGTGTTGCTGTGGTGATTTTCTGGCTCACCCCTCATCTCTGTGAAGCCTTTCCCTATTTCTACCAGAACTAGATGTTGCGGACCCTGGGCCAATGGCACTTGATGCAGTTTTTATTTTTTTGCTCCCAAGTTTGTCATGCCTTTGTGAGTACTTGGCCGTCTTTTTTGTGTGTGTGTGAGACAGAGTCTTGCTGTGTCACCAGGCGCCAGGCTGGAGTGCAGTGGCACGATCTTGGCTCACTGCAACCTTCACCCTCCCGGGTTCAAGCAGTTTTCCTGCCTTAGCCTCCCGAGCAGCTGGGACTACAGGTAGAGCCACCATGCCCAGCTAATTGTTTGTATTTTAGTAGAGACGGGGTTTCACTATGTTGGCCAGGATGTCCTAGATGTCTTGACCTCATGATTCGCCCGCCTCGGCCTCCCAAAGTGTTGGGATTACAGGCGTGAGCCACCGCGCCCGGCGTACTTCACCCTCTTAATGACAATTAGCATGTGGCACAGGCTCTTGCCGCATTCTCTTCTCCAGGTTGTGAATTTTTCAAGGTGAGGGCCCTTTGATTTGTCTTCAGTGCCTAGATGTGGAAGGCACTTAGTTAACAAGTGGAGATAGTTTTTTGTATTATTCTGTTTCCCTAATGATTTTTATTTCATGAAAATGTGAATTCCTATATTTTTGATTAAAATACGTGTTAGAAATAGGAGGCTTCTGTGTTCTTTCCCCTCCAAAATTTTGGAGTTAGTGCAATATTTGTAGAGCTTTGCTGCATGAATCTTTGAGCAGTAAAGCATCTTCATCTCATTGAATCCTCACAGCAGGAAATTGAATCCCAGTGATGTCAAGTAACTGACCCAAAGTCACAAGGCTGTATGCGATGGAGTTAGAAACTCTGCAGGGTCTGACCTCTGATTCTGTACCCTGGGAACTTACTTGTTTTGCCTCTCAGGGAAAACTGTAACATACAGCTGTCAATTTGTGGATGGAAGAGTGAGCCATTACATTTCTGCAAGTCAGCATGGCAGTGTACGTCTGTCTGATATTTCTTCATTCACTGAGTATCAGCTGTGTGCCAGTGATGAGCCAAGACCTGTGTCCTTGGTCCCATGGGTTTTATAGGTCTGTAATGGGATGAATGGGGAGGGACAGTGAGCAAAGGTCTTATCTTTGAAAAACCTGTGAAACACTCTTGCCAAAAAAAAAAAAAAAATCAAACCTGAGTCTAGTCAAGCTCCTGTGTTTAACAACCAATCTACGGGAAATACAGGGGGGGAGAGAAACATGTTGAACTATACTACAGGGTTGCCATTGGCAACATTGAGAATGTGGGAAACTATAAGACTAGTAACCCATACTTATCATCAGGGAGAAATGAAGGGGGCTGATGATAAGAGACTGGAGGTACAAGGACTAATTTTTATTGTAGGGCTTACCTGTGTTTGTGTCAGGCCAGTTTGTTAGAGACACAACTGAATATTATTTATGATATTTGAGACAATTAGAATTTGGAACAATGATTATATTATTGAGGAATTATTTTCATTTTTAACTGTGATAGTGGTTTTGTTTAAAGTCATATCTCTATCTTTTAAAAGATGCATACATTTACTGATGAAATGGTACATCATCTGGGATTTGTGTCATGATCTTATGGGAGACGGAGTAGGTTATGTGTGGTTAGATCAGGACTGGCTTAGGTTGAGAGTGGTATGGGCACATGAGTTCTAAGTCTTTTTCTTTTTTGAGATAGGGTCCCTCCCGGGTTCAAATGATCCTCCCACCTCAGCCTCCCAAGTAGCTGGGACACAGGTGTATGCCACCACACCCGGCTAGTTGTGTGTGTGTGTGTGTGTGTGTGTGTGTGTTTTAATAGAAACAGGGTTTTGCCATGTTGCCTGGGCTGGTCTTGAACTCCTAGACTCAAGTAGTCCTTCTGCCTGCACCTCCCAAAGTGCTGGGATTAGAAATGTGAGCCACTACACCCAGCCCTGGTTCTAACTATTCTCTCCACATTTATGTTTAGCATTTCTCATCACACAAAGCAAGTTATGAAGGAAAGATCTAGGTGCATGTAGTAGGGAGGTTATACCTGACAAAGCTTTGGGAAAGACTTCCTGGGATAGACACTGGAGCAGGCAGCAGAGAGCAGAAGAAGGGTTGGGGGTGAGTGTCAGGTGGAGGGAAGAACCTGTGCAGAGGTTCCATGATACAGCAGGAAAAAGCCTGGTATGGCTGGAGCAGGAGGTGTTGGGCAAGTTCTTTTAGGCCCAATTAAGAGCAGTGTGAGGTTTTAAGGGTGAGGGTGTGACATGAATCTGTTTGCTTTGGAAAGAGGATTCCAAAGATTGCTCTGTAGATTTGAGTTGGTGCTGGGAGAAGGTTTGGGAAGAATATGTACAGGAGACCAATCTGTGGTTACTCTGTTCAGGTGCAAACCTTTCCATTGTCCCTGCTTTGGGTCCCTGATTGGATTGGACACCCCTGTCTCCTTGAAATGTGGTGTGGCCTGTGATTTGCTCCAGCCAATGAACAGTGGTATGTAACTTCTGAGACAAGTGCTTTTTCATGTTCCCTCTCTCCTGTTTCTTTTTTTTTTTTTTTTTGGAGCTGGAGTCTTGCTCTGTCACCAGGCAGGAGTGCAGTGGCACAGTCTCGGCTCACTGCAACCTCTGCCTCTTGGGTTTCAAGCGATTCCCTTGCCTCAGGCTCCCAAGTAGCTGGGATTACAGGCATGTACCATCACATTCAGCTAATTTTTTGTGTTTTAGTAGAGATGGGGTTTCACCATGTTGGCCAGGATGGTCTTGATTTCCTGACCTTATGATGAGCGCCCACCTTGGCCTCCCAAGGTGCTGGGATTACAGGCGTGAGCCACTGCGCCCAGCCCTTCTCCTGTTTCTGATTGTGGAAACAAATGGATATGTACCGTCAGCAAGAAAGAAAACTTTGTGTTGAGCCAAGTAACAAACAGTTATGGGTTTGTTACTGCACCATAACTTAGTCTCCAGTGTTTCTCAAAGTCTGGTGCCCAGACTAGCTGCATCGATGACCTGGATGCTAGTTAGAAATGCAGATTTTCAGGTCTCAGACCTACCGCATCATAAACCCTGGAGTGGGGCCTGGTAATCTGTGTTCTAACATGTCCTTCATGTGATTCTGATGCCCTTGAGTTGAGAGCTACTGCCTGAGTTTCCCGACTGATAAGTCAGTTAGGAGGCTGTTGGCGTCAGTCGTGGTGAAAGAGCTTGGTGGTTGGCCAGTGTTGGAATTGTGGGTGTGGGGAGAAGTGGACAGGCCTAGCTAGGAAGGCTTCTGGGGTAAAATTGGTAAGTTGTGTTGTTAGGGATAAGGAGAGATTAGGGGAAGTTCTGGTGCCAGTTATAGCCCTAAGTGTTTGTCTGACAGAACCAGATGGATGGCAGTGCCATTTACTGTCCAGATAGCATTCTTTCTGTATGCATCTACATTTCCTTCTGTTTCAGGGTTCAGAAACAAGAGAAAGCCCCTTATAAATAAAACATTGTGGGGCCCAGCATGGTGGCTCATGCCTGTAATCCCAGCACTTTGGGAGGCTGAGGCGGGTGGATCACAAGGTCAGGAGCTTGAGACCAGCCTGGCCAACATGGTGAAATCTCGTCTCTACTAAAAATACAAAAATTAGCTGGGCATGGTGGTATGCACCTCTTATCCCAGCGACTTAGGAGGCTGAGGCAGGGAATTGCTTAAACCCATGAAGTGGAGGTTGCAGTGAGACAAGACTGTGCCACTGTGCTACAGCCTGGGAAACAGAGCAAGACTGTCTCAAAAAAAAAAAAAGAAAAAAACAATTTGTGGACTTCCTTAGCTCAAGTAACAGTTTCTCAGTGAACCCCACCTTGATACCCCTTTCCCCATTTAAAAGTGTACCTCCAATGAACCCCACCTTGATGCCCCTCCTCCCATTTAAAAGTGTACCCCCTTTGCAGGTTTGGCCGAGGTGGCTCAGGTCTGTAATCCTAGCACTTTGGGAGGCTGAAGCAGGCAGATCACTTGAGGTCAGGAGTTTGAGACCATCCTGGCCAGAAGGTGGCGGTTACAGTGAGCCAAGATTACACCACTACGCTCTAGCCTGGGTGACAGAGCAAGACTTTAAAAAAAAAAAAAAAAAAAAAACCGTATCTCTTTCGCTCTCCAGATCCTACCTTGTACCTTGTTTGTTGTTCCTATCTGCTCTCCCAGCTGTAATGAAGGCCCCATGAAAGGAGGATGCTTGTGTCTGGTCCATCGTTGTGTTCCCCGAGCGAGCTGCATGTGTGGGTGGTCAACATGTGTGAGCTGAAGGAGCTGCCTAGACGGCGATGAGGAGCGAGTGTGGCCCACGTGGAGCCCCACGCAGGAGCTGTGCTGCTGCCCCTCGCTTGTGTTTTTCTGTGCAGTAGCCTAGGATAGAGGCTGGAACTGTCATGAGAGCTTGTTTAACTTAAGACAATTTATTCTCTCTTTTTTTTTTTTTTTTTTTTTTTTTTTTGACAAGGTTTTTTTTTTTTTTTTTTTTTTTTTGGAGACAGAGTTTCGCTCTTGTTACCCAGGCTGGAGTGCAATGGTGCGATCTTGGCTCACCGCAACCTCCGCCTCCTGGGTTCAGGCAATTCTCCTGCCTCAGCCTCCTGAGTAGCTGGGACTACAGGCACGCGCCACCATGCCCAGCTAATTTTTTGTAGTTTTGGTAGAGACGGGGTTTCACCATGTTGACCAGGATGGTCTCGATCTCTTGACCTCGTGATCCACCCGCCTCGGCCTCCCAAAGTGCTGGGATTACAGGCTTGAGCCACCGCGCCCGGCAAGACAATTTATTCTTAAGTGGGAGAGAAAAATGATGTTTCAGCAGAAGCAGCACTACCGAAAATGAAAACTTATAAAATGAGACTACCAAGAAAACTGCAGGTATAAAAATTTGGTTTTTCTTCCCCACCCCCACCCCCACTTTTTTTTTATTTTTTATTTCGAGAGATGGGATCTTGCTCTGTCAACCAGGCTGGAGTGCAGTGGCACAATCTTGGCTCACTGCAACCTCTGCCTCCTGGGTTCCAGCCATCGTCCCACCTCGGCATCCTAATTAGCTGGGAGGTTGGGCACATGCCACTGTGCCTGGCTAGTTTTTGTATTTTTTGTAGCGATGGGGTTTTGCCATGTTGCCCAAGCTGGTCTTGAACTCCTGACCTCAAGTGATCTGCTACACCTTCGCCTCCCAAAGAAAGCACTGGGATTACAGGTGCGAGCCACTGGAGGTCCCTTTTGCTCTTTTTTTTTTTTTTGAGATGGAGTTTTGCTTCGTCACCCAGGCTGTGGAGTGCAGTGGCACAATCTTGGCTCACCAAAACCTCTGGCTCCCTGGTTCAAGTGATTCTCCTGCCTCAGCCTCCCAAGTAGCTGGGATTATAGGCATGCGCCACCACACCCAGCTAATTTTTGTATTTTTAGTAGAGATGGGATTTCACCATGTTGGCCAGGGTGGTCTCAATCTCTTGACCTTGTGATCTGCCCAGTGTGGCCTCCCAAAGTTCTGGGATTACAGGTGTGAGCCACCATGCCCGGCCTTGTTCTTTATCTGTAAATTGTATACTTTATTTGTGGAAGACAAATTGGGATTATGTATCGCGTTAACAGTTTATTGGGTTCTTTTCCATTGAGTTTTGAAATCTGGAAGTGTGTCTTTAAAATTCAACTGCTTGTAACTCCTTTGACGCAAATAATAGTGCTACTTGTTTGTCCAGTATCTACCTTTGTAGGCTGAATGGATGTCTGTTTCTCATATACCAGTATGTTCATGGCTGCTGTATGCATCTCAACAAATTAGTGGATTAACTCAGTACAGGGCAGAAATAAGGCATTGCCAGTGCCCCATCTCAGGCCCCTGCTTATGGGTCAGTGGAGCATTATTGAGGCTTCTCTACTGATTCAGAAGACATAGTAACAGAATAAAATATGGTCATTGCCTTCTCTGTTTTCTTTGGGAGAGGGGGCCCTAGTCATTCTTGTAAGTTGATAAACTTCTGAGATAGGAGATAAAGGAAATCTGCCTCAGTGGCCCCTGTTTACATGTATTTTGATAGGACGTTGTCCTTACTCTGCATTTCTGCCTCTGAGGATTCTCTGGTGGCTGCTTGGGGCCACGCATAATGTTGGAGTGTGGAGGTGTGCTCTGGGTGCTGGAAGGGTCCTTGAGCCTGGCCACTGTTCATAGCTCTGCCTTCTTGGCTTCTTGGTGGCCCTGTCTCATAGGAGCTGTTGCTCCCTTCCTTGGTACCCAAGCACTGCTCCTCTTTGTTACCACCCAGAGGTCTCTGCACCAGTTCTGCAGAGCTGCCTTGATACAGGCAGTCCCTCACTGCTCTCTTCCTCCTGGGAAAGTTCCAGGTACAAGAATGATGTAGAGAAACTGAATTGTGTGAGTTCCAGCCTAGAGCTTATATAAATCCTATTTCTAGAGATGTGCAATTTGATATATCATTATGGGAGAATAGCTTAAGTATTATTTTTAATAATTCTGTAACAGAAAATATATTTATGAACAATTTGTATGATTCTGAAAAGTGGAAGGAAACATAACTGCTCTTATGAACCAAAATGTTGAAGCGTATTTCCAGCCTTTTTCCTTTGTGAAACTAAAGCACTTCCAATGAAGACTTGTGCATTGTGAGTCTGGTAATCAAAGGTGACAGTCCCTGCTCTGCTCCCCTTCGGACTTGCATCAAGGCAACCTCTGCCCTTTGAGGTGTTGCTGCCCTTTTTTTTTTTTTTTGGAGACAGGCTCTCACTCTGTCGCCAGGGCTGGAGTGTAGTGGTGTGATCTCAGTTCACTGCAATCTCCGCCTCCCTGGGCTCAGGTGATCCTCATGTCTCAGCCTCCTGTGTAGCTGGGATTGCAGATGCGAACCATCACGCCCAACTAATTTTTATATTTTTAGTAGAGATGAGGTTTCGCTGTGTTGGCCAGGGTGGTTCTTGAACTCCTGGCCTCAAGTGATCCACTCATCTTGGCCTCTGAAAGCTCTGGGATTACAGGCTTGAGCCACTGTGCCTGGCCTTTCAGCTGTTGCTTCTATTTATCTATACTTTAAAAAGTAACTTGCTTATTTTGCTAATTTTAGAACTCCCAAATTGGTGTATGTTCAGTTTTATCTGTGGAAGATGATGAAGATTTAGCTTTCTTTCTTGACTCCCTCTTACCTCCCATGTTACCTCCTGATTTCTTGCCAATATTCCCAATATTGTGGTGGTTTGATGATCTATTCTAGAACTTAGTGGCTGAGAAAATGACAACCTGTATTTGTTTACAGTTTTGTAAGTGGGACATGGTTGCCAAGGTTAGCTTGTTCCTCCATTCCATGTGATTCCAGCTTGTTGGTACTGGCTGTCAACTGTGGGAGCTCAGTAGGGACTCTTGGCCATGGGCCTCATTTCTCCCCAGTATGGTCTAACCCATGAGGCTGCTTGTGCTTCCTTGCAGCATGGTGGCTGGTTCCATGAGGAAGTGAGACCTGCTGGTCGTTTTA